AGTCGGCCTATAGGTTCATAGTGCAAATAAAAAAGGATCAAGAATGCAGCAACTGATATCTCTAAAAATGAAAACCATTCTTAGAAGGCTCCTGCCTAAAGCTGTCCTAGGAGACGGCCGCAGAACTAGAAGCCTTGCTAACTAGAAGCTACTGGCACCCTCCACCCAACTCCTCAGATTTGCAGATCCAACTCTCGTCTTAGGCTTTGTATTTGGCTTTTCCAGTTTCACTAATGACACCAACAGGATTCAAATCCCTGAAGTACTCATTAGAGTCAAGGGCATATCCAACAACAAACTTGTCTGGAATTTCAAATCCAAAAAGTCTGGCCTCCACCCAACACTTGGAGAGGCCTTTCCACCAGGAAGCTTGCGGCCTTAACAACCCTAACCCTGATAAGGGGTTGTACCTCTTGTCAAGGAAAGCAAGGTTTGCGTTGTTTTTCCAGTGTCAGCTACATCTTCAACAATCGAGACATCCTTTCCAGTTAAAGTGGAGAGATCATCTCCACCATGAACTTTCATGGCCCCTGTTGACTGATCGTCACAGTAGCTCTTCGGTCTGATAAAATCTAGTCATAGGAAGATTTCTATTCAGTGCTTTAATGGAATCCAGTAGCAGGTCAGCAAAGAATTTTTAGTCCCCACTTCAGCACAGAGGGCTGCAATGTGATGGCCTCCCATCTCTTTCATGACATCTGGAGCAAGTCTTTCAGTCCCATCCATAATCAGTCCATGAGGAATAAACACCTTTTCCAAATCCTCCCACACAATGATTAGGTATACAAAATAAAGCTAAGCCAGGTGGTGGTGGCACACACCTTTAATCCCAGCACTCGAGAGGCAGAGGCAGAAGGATCTCTGTGAGTTCGAGGCCAGCCTGGTCTACAGAGTGAGATCCAGGAGAGCAAGAGCTACACGGAGAAACTCTGTCAAGAAAGGAAAGAAAGAAAGAGAAAAAGAGAGAGAGAAAGAGAGAGAGAGAGAGAGAGAGAGAGAGAGAGAGAGAGAGAGAGAAAGAGAAAGGAAGGAAGGAAGAAAGAGAGAAAGAAAGAGAGAAAGAAAGAAAGCTGTGAGGTAGGTAAGCCCAACGCTCTTCTTCAGAGCTGCAGCAACCGCTCACAGAACGCAACTGGAGTGGTTTTTTTTTAAATCATGTATTTAATTTTATTTTATGTGTATTGGTGTGAGGATGTCAGATCCTCTGGAACTGAAGTTACAGTTGTGAGTGGCCATGTGGTTGCTGGGAATTGAACTCAGGACCTCTGGAAGAGCAGCCAGTGCTCTTAACCGCTGAGCCATCTCTCCAGCCCACAACCGGAGTTTTATTTAGTGTTATTTTTCTGGGCCTAGGGAGGGAATGCAGAGCCTCAGAAACACCAGGCAAGTGCTCTGATGCAGCCACAGCCCTGGCCTTTGCCTGGGGGCTATGCTTTGTTGGTGTGTGTCTGAAAGTGTGTATAAGGTACGTGTGCAGTTTGTGCACCCCTGCTTGTGTACCGAGGTGCACATGTCTGTGTCCCAATGAGTAGAGGTCAGAGGATAGCTGATGTCTGGCTTCATTCCCTTGAGACATCGTCTCTCATCACACCCGGAGCTAGCCTGCTGGCCTGAGCCCAGTGACCTGCTGCCTTTGCCCTGCACAGCACTGGGGCTACTTCCTGGCCTATACACGGGAACTGAGGATTTGAACTCGGCTTCTGGTGATGCTTAGCAAGCTCTCTGAGCCTTGTGCAGTTCAGGGAGGCCTGAAACTCAAGGTGTTGCTAAGGGTGGCCTTGAACCCCCTGCTTCAACTCTGGAGTGCTGGGATTACAGGTGTGTGCCACCTGGCTGAGTGAGTGAGTGAGTGTGTGTGCGTGCGTGTGCAAGAGCTTGTGGGTGCACTCAAGGACCATGGCACAAATATGGAGGTCAGAGGAGCCAGCTCAGCACTGAGCTTTGTGATAAGATGCTTCCCTGAAGCAGTTCCCAGCAAGTAGAGCAGAAAGCTGGCTACTTGCCTACCTCCTCATCCTGCAGCCACAGATAAAACATGCTTCAGGACAAGCAGACTGTGCCATGCCCAGTTCCCTGAGAGAGCTCTATCTCTACCAAGTGCTGCTAAGCCTGGTGTGGTGACCTGTGCTTTAGAAACACAAATGTCACCGGGCAGTGGTGGTGCGCACCTTTAATCCCAGCACTCGGGAGGCAGAGCCAGGCGGATCTCTGTGAGTTCGAGGCCAGCCTTGTCTACAGAGCGAGATCCAGGACAGGCACCAAAACTACATGGAGAAACCCTGTCTTGAAAGAAACAAAACAAAACAAAACAAAAACCCCCACGAATGAATGTTGAATGTCATCTTATCAAGCATATCTTTAATTCTTTCTGTAAATCAGCAAGAAGCCACCCACTGGCTAATCCAACTAGGTAGGAAGTATTAGCCCTATTCTGAGGAGGGGAACTGAGGCTTCAGGGCTCTTAGCAAGGGGGGGCTACTGCACAGAGGCTGCTCTGTGGTTACTGATTTAATCCTTTTTGCACTGATTTTATTGTTTGTGTGTATATCACAGTCAGAGGACAACCTGCCTCAGCTGCTTCTCCCCTTCCACCACGTGGGTCTGGGAGTGGAACTCAAGCTTGGTGGCAGGTACCTTTTCCTACTGAGCCATCTCACCAGCCATTATTTTCTGAGACAGGGTTTACTATATCTCAGGCTGGCTTCAAATTCACTAGGTAGCCAAGGTTGACCTTGAGCTTCTGATCTGGTCGCTACATCTTGAGGGCAAAAGAAACAACTTTTCGGAGGAGCTGAAGCGGATTGCTACATTTCTGCAGAGGTTTCCCGTTTAGCAGAGTGAAGCAGAAGATGTAACATCTTGGGCCGGAGCTGAGAAGAAACGGATACCTCTGCCGGGAAGCTCCCTTGGCCGGGGTGGGGGTGGGGTGGGGGGAGCAGAGCTCAGCTATAACGGCCGGCCGGCTCTGAGAGGAGCAGGATTGCTACATCCTGCCGGAATACTATCCCCCCACCGGACCCCAGCTTCAGGTATAGCCTGACTTCAGGATACCTTTCTCCTCACAGCTGTAGGTCCAGCTGACTTCCCAGGCATGCAGATGTACCTGGTTTCTGTGGTGCTGGGGGTCAAACCCAAGGCTTCCTCCGAGCTAGACAAACACTACCAACTGAGCCACACCCCCAGCCCAAGACTCTTTAGATGCAGTAACTGCTATGGTAGAGTCGCTGGTGGCAGCGATAGTCAACTGCTTTTGTAGCCATGGAAACTGGTCAAAGAGGGAAAACACATGCCCAGGCACATCACCACCCTGCGGCTAAGCGTACCAACTCAGTGGGCTTCACTCTGGTTGCCCCTAGATCCCTGTTGCTTTGAGGCACTGGCCGGGCTGACATGGACATCCCTCTGGGACTGTCAGGATTAGGTTACTGTCCCTGAGGTTCTAGTTGATTGGAGAATGGATAAGCAAGATGGCCTTTCCCCAGGCCGTACTCCCAAGTGCGGAGAAACGGACAATCACCAGGGATGAGACGCAGCCGGAAGGGGTTCGAGGGTCTTTGTAACCATCAGGCTCTTTGCTGGTGAAGGGTCCCCCACAGCTGCTGGGGTCACTTCGCAGAGTTAGTGGCTGTGAACCAAAGCCCTGGAGCTTAGAAGCTGGGACTGGGGGCCGAGCAGGTGGTGGCACAGGCCTGCCACCTCCGCACTGGAGAGGTGCAGCCCGAGGGAGCTGGAGCTTAGGTCACACTTGGCTAAGGAGTGAGTTTGAGCCCAACTTTTTAGATGCTGTTAGACAAGGAAAGAGATGAGGGATGGGAGGAGGGTCAAGGGGAGGTAGATGGCTCAGTTGATAAAGCAGGAAAACCTGGCTTCTGACCCCCAGAACCCACTTACAAAGCCAGACGTGAAGATGTCTATGTGTAATCTGCTGGCCACAGAGACAGTGGTGCCTGGAGTTCATTGGTCTGCCAGTCTAGCAGAAGGAGGAGCCCCAGGTTCACTGAGAGACCATGCCTCAAAAAGTAGCGTGGGGCCAGATGTGATGGCACACACCTTTAGTCCCAGCACTCAGAGGCAGAGGCAGGTGGATCTCTGTGAGTTCAAGGCCAGCCAGGACTAGATAGTGGCTGGGTCAATGAGACCTGAATTCTATTCCTGGACTCCCATGGCATAACAGAATCAACTCGAGCAAGTTGTCCTCTGACTTTGACACAGCTGCTATAGCGCACTCACAATAAATAAATAAATAAATGTAATGTTAAAAGAAACTACCAGGAAAAAAAAATGAGGTGGTGGGCAACTGAGGAAGTCACAGGAAGTCAGCTGCTGGCTTCCACACGCAGATGCACACAAGTGCCCTCATCCATATGCACATGTACACACCCAAATGAACACCTTCCCTCCCCACCACACATACACACACACACACACACACACACACACACACACACACACACACACACACACACAGAGTCTGAACTGGGAACTGGAGGTCTGTGTTCCTGCCAGAGGACAGCCGAAGATCTGTCTCACCTTCTGGCTTGTGGAGGCAGCCCGCCTCCGTGGCTGGAGGGTCTAACATCACCGAGACAGTGCATTAGCACAGACGGCCTGGTTCTCATGCCCTCTACCTGTCCTCCCCCTTTGGAAAGTGGGCATGTGTCAGTGATAAATTCCACAGACCGAGGTCGATGACCTGGAGTTAAGATGAGAAACAGATTAGGAAGTCTGAGGCTTTGCCGGGGAACCATGGTCCAGAGCCAAGGATGGCGTGGGGACACCTCCACTCCTGGGCTGCTCCCAGCATTTGGAGAAGTCCCCGTTTCCTGCTTTCCTGGAGCAGGGGGCCTGCTGTGGGTGCTCAGGGTGGGCGGGGAGTGGGCGGGGCCACGGCAGGCCGCCTCCTCAGGGCTTGGCCCGCCTCCTCCTCTCCACAGGCTGCCTTGTGGGACAGACTCACCCTCAGTCATCGCGTCCGGGAGCTGGAGCCCAAGTCGGCCAGCCGAGATGCCTGCTCTGGGCCAGGTGATGGAGAACGGCCAGGTCCTGCCGGCCTTCCTGCTCTGTAGCACACTGCTGATCATCAAGATGTACGCGGTGGGTGTCATCACAGGCTACACAAGGCTTCGGAAGAAGGTACGTGAGCTGGGGTGTGGGTGGGGTGGGGGTGGGAGCGATTAGCACTCTGCTGGCTTTTTCCTGCAAGCAAGTCTGAGAACTGAATCGCGTGGCGGAGGTGTGCCTGCCCGCGTGCAGACGAAACTGCTTCAAAGCTGCCGCCTCAGCCCTTCGGGGTGCTGGCTTGGTTTCAGCCCCTGAACCCGCTGGCATGAGAGCACTCGGGGTTCCCTCTCTCGGCGCCAGGTGAAGCATCTGCCACCAGGAGACGCACGTGGAGCACCGGGGCTCTTGACAGTCAGAGGTCTCCTGACCTGGCTGGCGGCTTCCTGGCAGGCAGGCAGGGGGATTTCATATCTGGGTGGAGTGGGGACCGGCAAAGCAGGAGCCCGAGAAGTCTTTCCGTGGAAATTCCCACTCCCCGTGGGCGTCACACACAGACTCACGGCAGCCTCCGAGGCTTGGTCCTAGCCAAAGGGGTCACAGCCGACTCACTCTGATCCCAGTCCTGGCAAGAAAATAACAGTAAAAGAGTCCACACGGAGCCGGTGGGAGTGGCCAGGACTCCCCGACCCCATTCCTCCGCTTTGGACGGAACCCTGGAAGCTACTGGAAAGCAGAACCGCACGAAGTATCTGTTGCTTACAGGCGCTCTTTAAAACCAGCCTTTGTCCAGCCCAAAGGCGGGGGACACGACGGACGGACAGATGTCAGGAGTGCGGGTGGGATCCCCGGGTGGGACTCTGGCCCTCCAGCTGGGTTCGGCCCCTGGGGCAGCTACTGGCAGGAATAAAGGCAGGGCCACCTCTTTCTGGCTGCCTCTGGTTCTCCTGTTTGGTCCGACCTGGGATGTAGGACACAGATGCCGGGCAGAGATAGCTGTATAGCTGTATTCTGTCGTTGTCCCCTCTGCAGGGGCCCCAAAGCTGAGCACTAAGTTACCACCAGAGCCTGGGGGAGGCAGTGGGAGGAGATAGGTTTCCTCGGTTTTTCCAGTGAGAAATCAGGGCTTCCTGTGGCTCCTTCCATCCCCTTTGAAGCTTAGTATCTGGCTCCTGAGCCCCACTTCCTCCTGGTCTCCATTCGCCATGATTCCAGATACAGGGGCTGAGGGAGACCTCCCCTGCTTTGTGCCCTGGGGATCCTGAGGCGCCTCTCCTTTCTGTCAGGAGGGACCAGAGGATCACCCTCTGCAGAGGGGATGGGCACAGGCTCAGGATCCTCTCCCACCCGCCTGGGGACCTGGGCAGTTGAGAGCTCAGTGACACCCCCCCCCCCCCCGGGAATTGTGAACACGCCACCCACTCTGGTCCTTAAGACTGCTTCCTACCGGAATCTGATGTGAAGAGCAGCAGCCACAGGTCTTTCCTGGGGGCACATGGTGAGCGGCCCTTGACCTAGTAGAGGTGGCTCCTGATATCTGAATACAGAGCTCTATTGGGGGCAAAGCTGGACCCTCAGAGCTGGGGACTTGGGAGCCAGCAGGGAAGAGGTTCTGGGTGGGGGTTTCTGGCCTTATTCTGCCATTTTACATTTCCCTCAGGGCAGGGCCCCAGCTGGGGCTCCAGGGACAGACCCCAGTGAAGCACCCTGTGCACCTCAGTTTAGAAAGGTTGATTCAGACTTCATCAGAGTTGGTGGGAATGGCTTTGCCTGGGCTGCAGCAGGGAACAGCCGTGAGCCAATCAGGAGCCCAGGCCCCAAAGACAAACGGATGACCTTGGGCCTCTACTGTCTTTCCGGCGATGGAAGCTGAAATCTGCCAGGGCCCTCCCCAGGCTGCCCGTGCCCTTCTACTGAGGCTCGGGTGCTCCATTTCATCCCTAGTCTACAGATGAGGAAGTCCTGGCCTCAGGAGGCTGCAAGCCTGGTGGTCAGAGGGCCTGAGTGTCTGACCAGGCTCTTGAGCGCCCCGATGGCTCCTACTTAGCTTGTTGGTTTTTAATCTTTTGAGATAGGGTCTTACTACATAGACCAGGATGCCCTTGAACTCACAGAGATCTGCCCACCTCTGTCTCCAGAGTGCTGGGATTAAAGGTGTGCACCGCCACACTTTGCTAAATCTTTTTTTTTTTTTTTTTTAAGGTTTATTTATTATGTACACAGTGTTCTGCCTGCATGTGTCCCTGCAGGCCAGAAGAGGGCACCAGATCTCATTACAGATGGTTGTGAGCCACCATGTGGTTGCTGGGAATTGAACTCAGGACCTCTAGAAGAACAACCAATGCTCTTAACCATTGAGCCATCTCTCCAGCCCGCTAAATCTTATTTTAATTAACTTGTCGAGGTTCTTGGATTAGAGTCTAGGGACTCATGCATGCTAGGCAAAGACAGGCTGTGGATCCGTGCCCCGAGCCTCCTGAGTGCACGAGGCTGTCTGGTCCCACTGAGTCCCAGTCTAATGGTCTCTCTTAACCTCCGAGAGAGCGCTCGCCACTGTGAGCTCCAGTGCGCAGCTCAGAGAAGAGGTTCAGGGGCGCAAGCCGGGTGGCTGCCTGTAGGCCGGGTAGGTGGCTGTGATGTTGCCTAGCTCCTGAGTTCTGTCCTCAGACGAGGACCTCCTCAGGGATGGTGACCCTCAGCCAATGTGTTTCAGGCCTTTGCCAACCCCGAGGATGCCCTGAGACATGGAGGCCTCCAGTTCTACAGGAGTGATCCAGATGTGGAGCGCTGCCTCAGGTGAGTACCTGCCTGTATCTTGGACTTGGCCACAGACAGACCTGGCTGCTACCTGTCCTTACTGAGTTTCTGAAATGGGGCCTTGAGAGTCACTTATGTGTCTAAAGGGCGTCTGTGTGGGCCTGATTTCTTCTCAGGCGATTATAGTTTGCTCATTACATTTGTCTTGGAAAAGAAAATTCTCGGGATCTAGAGGTAGAGTTAGTTCAAGGTTGATGGTGCATGTCTGAGATGCCAACACTTGGGAGCTGGAAGCAGGAAGCTCGACCAGAGTTCCAGACCAACCACAGAGCGGGACTATTTGAAGCAAGCAAACAAACAGAAAAAGAAATACAAGTGGGATATAGTGGCTCATACCTGTGAGCCCAGCGTTTGGGAGGTACAAGCCAGAGCGTCAGGGGTTCAAGACCAGCGTCTGCTATTAGAGAGCCATCCCTGTCAGTGGATCCCTGACTTCTTCATGTCTCAGGGCTCACACTCTCTCCCTCTCTCTAAATGTTAGTTAGTTTTAAAGTTAGTCTTTAGGCTAGGTATAGTGAGTGGTACACACCCATGATGCCAATGTTTGGGAGGCTGAGATAAAAGGATTGCCTTGGGTTCTAGGCTGGTATGGGCTATGGGTAAAGCCCAGTCTCAACAAAACAATCTGGGTGGTGGCACACACCTTTAATCCTAGCACTTGGGAGGCAGAGGCAGGCGGATCTCTTAAGTTTGAGGTCAGCCTGGTCTACAGAGTGAGTTCCAGGACAGCCAGGGCTACACAGAGACTTGTCTTAAAAAAAAAAAAAAAAAAAAAAAAAAAAAAAAAAAAAAAAAAAGGAAAGCAAAAGTCTTGGCTGTATAAACTTCTTCCAGGGAGTAAACGTCGATTTTTAGCAGCCCGCTCAGTATTGGAGTTTGGGCCATTTCTTCCCATCTCATCAGTCATCTAGAGTGAGGGGCACTGGGGTGATGTGAGCAAGGAGGATGGGCAGCTGGACCTGCTGAGATGTGAGACAAACCGCCGTACACGGCTCCCAACATAGCCCCTTGCATCACAGGCGGAGATGGGTGGGGCGGTCACTTCCATAACAGAATTCCCCTCTGTAAACAAAGTGTGGGAGGGAGGCTTCCCTTGTGTTTTTCTTAGCCATTGACAATAATGTACACACTTGTGGTTTTAAAAAAATGACAGCAATGTGTCAGGAAGTGAGACTCCAGGCCGCCCTGTCCTTTCCAACAGAAATATGGGCTAGTCTGTATGTGCTCCATCAGGCCGGTGTCCATTCAGTGTTTAATGAACAGCTACTATATGGCAGACATTGGCTGGTTTCACGAATAAACGGCCTTGCACAGCCGTGACCACATATTGGTGACTCTTGGTTGTCTGGGCCATTCTGAACCGGAGAGTCATCCCAGCCAGCTGTCAGCAACATCCCAGGGCTTAGGTTTTGTAACCTCCTAAAGGCATAACCTTATTCAGGGAAGACGAAAGAACTTCAAGGGACCCTGCCATTCCCACCTACCCAGTGGGATTTTTCTTCTTTAATATTTGCTTTATATTTACTTCATTTTATGTGTATGAGTGTTTTCCCTGCGTGCAGGTATATTCACTACATATGTGCATATTGGATCCCTTGGAGCTGGGGTTCCAGATAGTTGTAAGTCTCCATATGACTGCTGGGAGTTGATCCTGGTGGTCCTCTGCAAGAGAAGTAAGTGAGCCATCTCTCTGGCTGGATTTTATTTAATTTAATTAATTAATTAATTAATTTATTTATTCATTCATTCATTCATTCATTCATTCATTCATTCATTCATTTATATATTATGTATACAGTGTTCTGTCTGCATGTATCCCTGCAGGCCAGAAGAGGGCACCAGATCTCATTTCAGATGGTTTTGAGCCACCATGTGGTTGCTGGGAAATGAACTCAGGACCTCTGGAAGAGCAACCAGAGCTCTTAACCCCTAAGCCATCTCTCCAGCCCTGGATTGTATTTCTTATACTCTCTAGTCCTGAATCTTCAGTGGTTGGTATTCAGTCTAGCATTTTCTGAACATTCCTACTTGGTAATGCTGTAGATCCACCTGGTGAGGCTCATTCAGGACTTCCTAGGTACTCTGCCTAGGGGGCTGAACTCCTGGGGAGCTGAGAACCCTCCTGACTCCATAGGTCATCACAGACAGTTGAGGGTCGGAGATGAAGCCCAGATTGGTAGAGTGCTTGCATAAAATAGAGTTGGAGGCTAGCCTGGACTACATGAGACTCTATCTTACAAAAAAAAAGGAAGGAAGGAAGGAAGCCAGCCACTTGTGGTAGCCCATCTTTTTAATCCTGGTACTTGGGAAGCAGAGGCAGGAGGATCTCTATGAGTTTGAGTTCAGTCTGATTTACACAGTGAGTTCCAAGCCAGCCAGAGGACCCTGTCTCAAAGAAGAAAATGTGTCAGCTGAGGGTGCAGAACTGGGAATCATGCCAGCTGCCTCCCTCTAGGAACTGACTGGAGAGAGAGAGGGAGCTGGAGCGAGCAGTTAATGTTGGAACCAGGGCACGTGCCCCCAGGCCAACATTGCTGTGTACACAGGAAGCATGAAGCCTGGATCCTGGGTCATAAATCTGCCTTGCAGATTAGCATATGCTGGAGACAAGCCAGGCTAGTTCTGAGGCAACCAGGGACCAGGTTTAAAGAATGGAACCCAGGCAGCTGGAGAGAGGATCCTGTGGTTAAGAACACTTGTTGCTCTTGCAGAGGACTCAGGTTCGATTCCCAGCACCCACACGGTGCCCTTTTCTGATCTCCTCAGGCATTAGGCACACATGTGGTGCACATATATACATGTAGGCAAAAATACTCTGACAAAAAATAAAATAGGTAACTTTTTTTTTTTTTTTTTTTTTGGTTTTTTCGA